CTGCTCATGTCACAGCATCATATCACTCCTGCTCATGTCACAGCATCATATCACTCCTGCTCATGTCACAGCATCATATCACTCCTGCTCATGTCACAGCATCATATCACTCCTGCTCATGTCACAGCATCATATCACTCCTGCTCATGTCACAGCATCATATCACTCCTGCTCATGTCACAGCATCATATCACTCCTGCTCATGTCACAGCATCATATCACTCCTGCTCATGTCACAGCATCATATCACTCCTGCTCATGTCACAGCATCATATCACTCCTGCTCATGTCACAGCATCATATCACTCCTGCTCATGTCACAGCATCATATCACTCCTGCTCATGTCACAGCATCATATCACTCCTGCTCATGTCACAGCATCATATCACTCCTGCTCATGTCACAGCATCATATCACTCCTGCTCATGTCACAGCATCATATCACTACTGCTCATGTCACAGCATCATATCACTCCTGCTCGTGTCACAGCATCATATCACTCCTGCTCGTGTCACAGCATCATATCACTCCTGCTCATGTCACAGCATCATATCACTCCTGCTCATGTCACAGCATCATATCACTCCTGCTCATGTCACAGCATCATATCACTCCTGCTCATGTCACAGCATCATATCACTCCTGCTCATGTCACAGCATCATATCACTCCTGCTCATGTCACAGCATCATATCACTCCTGCTCATGTCACAGCATCATATCACTCCTGCTCATGTCACAGCATCATATCACTCCTGCTCATGTCACAGCATCATATCACTCCTGCTCATGTCACAGCATCATATCACTCCTGCTCATGTCACAGCATCATATCACTCCTGCTCATGTCACAGCATCATATCACTCCTGCTCATGTCACAGCATCATATCACTCCTGCTCATGTCACAGCATCATATCACTCCTGCTCATGTCACAGCATCATATCACTCCTGCTCATGTCACAGCATCATATCACTCCTGCTCATGTCACAGCATCATATCACTCCTGCTCATGTCACAGCATCATATCACTCCTGCTCATGTCACAGCATCATATCACTCCTGCTCATGTCACAGCATCATATCACTCCTGCTCATGTCACAGCATCATATCACTCCTGCTCATGTCACAGCATCATATCACTCCTGCTCATGTCACAGCATCATATCACTCCTGCTCATGTCACAGCATCATATCACTCCTGCTCATGTCACAGCATCATATCACTCCTGCTCATGTCACAGCATCATATCACTCCTGCTCATGTCACAGCATCATATCACTCCTGCTCATGTCACAGCATCATATCACTCCTGCTCATGTCACAGCATCATATCACTCCTGCTCATGTCACAGCATCATATCACTCCTGCTCATGTCACAGCATCATATCACTCCTGCTCATGTCACAGCATCATATCACTCCTGCTCATGTCACAGCATCATATCACTCCTGCTCATGTCACAGCATCATATCACTCCTGCTCATGTCACAGCATCATATCACTCCTGCTCATGTCACAGCATCATATCACTCCTGCTCATGTCACAGCATCATATCACTCCTGCTCATGTCACAGCATCATATCACTCCTGCTCATGTCACAGCATCATATCACTCCTGCTCATGTCACAGCATCATATCACTCCTGCTCATGTCACAGCATCATATCACTCCTGCTCATGTCACAGCATCATATCACTCCTGCTCATGTCACAGCATCATATCACTCCTGCTCATGTCACAGCATCATATCACTCCTGCTCATGTCACAGCATCATATCACTCCTGCTCATGTCACAGCATCATATCACTCCTGCTCATGTCACAGCATCATATCACTCCTGCTCATGTCACAGCATCATATCACTCCTGCTCATGTCACAGCATCATATCACTCCTGCTCATGTCACAGCATCATATCACTCCTGCTCATGTCACAGCATCATATCACTCCTGCTCATGTCACAGCATCATATCACTCCTGCTCATGTCACAGCATCATATCACTCCTGCTCATGTCACAGCATCATATCACTCCTGCTCATGTCACAGCATCATATCACTCCTGCTCATGTCACAGCATCATATCACTCCTGCTCATGTCACAGCATCATATCACTCCTGCTCATGTCACAGCATCATATCACTCCTGCTCATGTCACAGCATCATATCACTCCTGCTCATGTTACAGCATCATATCACTCCTGCTCATGTCACAGCATCATATCACTCCTGCTCATGTCACAGCATCATATCACTCCTGCTCATGTCACAGCATCATATCACTCCTGCTCATGTCACAGCATCATATCACTCCTGCTCATGTCACAGCATCATATCACTCCTGCTCATGTCACAGCATCATATCACTCCTGCTCATGTCACAGCATCATATCACTCCTGCTCATGTCACAGCATCATATCACTCCTGCTCATGTCACAGCATCATATCACTACTGCTCGTGTCACAGCATCATATCACTCCTGCTCGTGTCACAGCATCATATCACTCCTGCTCGTGTCACAGCATCATATCACTCCTGCTCGTGTCACAGCATCATATCACTCCTGCTCATGTCACAGCATCATATCACTCCTGCTCATGTCACAGCATCATATCACTCCTGCTCATGTCACAGCATCATATCACTCCTGCTCATGTCACAGCATCATATCACTCCTGCTCATGTCACAGCATCATATCACTCCTGCTCATGTCACAGCATCATATCACTCCTGCTCATGTCACAGCATCATATCACTCCTGCTCATGTCACAGCATCATATCACTCCTGCTCATGTCACAGCATCATATCACTCCTGCTCATGTCACAGCATCATATCACTCCTGCTCATGTCACAGCATCATATCACTCCTGCTCATGTCACAGCATCATATCACTCCTGCTCATGTCACAGCATCATATCACTCCTGCTCATGTCACAGCATCATATCACTCCTGCTCATGTCACAGCATCATATCACTCCTGCTCATGTCACAGCATCATATCACTCCTGCTCATGTCACAGCATCATATCACTCCTGCTCATGTCACAGCATCATATCACTCCTGCTCATGTCACAGCATCATATCACTCCTGCTCATGTCACAGCATCATATCACTCCTGCTCATGTCACAGCATCATATCACTCCTGCTCATGTCACAGCATCATATCACTCCTGCTCATGTCACAGCATCATATCACTACTGCTCATGTCACAGCATCATATCACTACTGCTCATGTCACAGCATCATATCACTACTGCTCATGTCACAGCATCATATCACTACTGCTCATGTCACAGCATCATATCACTACTGCTCATGTCACAGCATCATATCACTACTGCTCATGTCACAGCATCATATCACTACTGCTCATGTCACAGCATCATATCACTACTGCTCATGTCACAGCATCATATCACTACTGCTCATGTCACAGCATCATATCACTCCTGCTCATGTCACAGCATCATATCACTACTGCTCATGTCACAGCATCATATCACTACTGCTAATGTCACAGCATCATATCACTCCTGCTAATGTCACAGCATCATATCACTCCTGCTCATGTCACAGCATCATATCACTACTGCTCATGTCACAGCATCATATCACTACTGCTAATGTCACAGCATCATATCACTCCTGCTAATGTCACAGCATCATATCACTCCTGCTCATGTCACAGCATCATATCACTCCTGCTCATGTCACAGCATCATATCACTACTGCTCATGTCACAGCATCATATCACTACTGCTCATGTCACAGCATCATATCACTACTGCTCATGTCACAGCATCATATCACTACTGCTCATGTCACAGCATCATATCACTACTGCTCATGTCACAGCATCATATCACTACTGCTCATGTCACAGCATCATATCACTACTGCTCATGTCACAGCATCATATCACTCCTGCTCATGTCACAGCATCATATCACTACTGCTCATGTCACAGCATCATATCACTACTGCTCATGTCACAGCATCATATCACTACTGCTCATGTCACAGCATCATATCACTACTGCTCATGTCACAGCATCATATCACTCCTGCTCATGTCACAGCATCATATCACTACTGCTCATGTCACAGCATCATATCACTACTGCTCATGTCACAGCATCATATCACTACTGCTCATGTCACAGCATCATATCACTCCTGCTCATGTCACAGCATCATATCACTACTGCTCATGTCACAGCATCATATCACTACTGCTCATGTCACAGCTTCATATAGCTGCTGCTCATGTCACAGCTTCATATAGCTGCTGCTCATGTCACAGCTTCATATAGCTGCTGCTCATGTCACAGCTTCATATAGCTGCTGCTCATGTCACAGCTTCATATAGCTGCTGCTCATGTCACAGCTTCATATAGCTGCTGCTCATGTCACAGCTTCATATAGCTGCTGCTCATGACACAGCTTCATATAGCTGCTGCTCATGTCACAGCTTCATATAGCAAATGCTCATGTCACAGCTTGAGACTGCTGCTGGTGTCACATGATGTAGGTTCTTCTGCTGGGGTCATAGCATGAGGCTACACTGTTGCCAAGTCACAACATGTGATGCGTCTACTACTATATGCCACAAAATCGGATTACTGCTCTATATGTCACAGCATCATACCACTGCTGCTCTTGTCACATTACGTGCTCACTGCTGCTGATGTCGTCACCATGTGCTCATTGCTGCTTTTGTCACAGCTCGTGGCCTTCGCCATTGATGTCTCAGCAATAGCATTCTGATGCTCGTTTCAAAGTGTGAGGCTACTGCCCCGCCTCTCACAGCATGTGCTCACTTCTGCTCTGTATCCCTCTGTTGCCCATTATGACATTGCCTCCCATCATGGAGGTGCAGCTTGCTACTCATGGCTCCAGCGACAAGTGCAGGGTTACATGCGGCAACGCAAGCATGCAAAGATGCAACGACGGGAAGCGTGAACATATCGCGGCACATGCGACCGTTACTGTGCGTGTTACGCGTAGGGTTGTCCGCCTTGTTTGCTGGCGAGAGGGGGGCGACGGCCGACGACGTGATTCATTTCTTAGCGGAGGCAGCACCTGAGGCTACGTCACGGCTCCTCAAGGCTGGCCTAGCCGCTGGTGAGTTGGGTTATTGATGGAATGTCACATGCATGCGAGGACTTATGAAGTGTGCGCAGTTGGGGTCTTGAAAAGTGTGGCCGCTTTCTTTGCGCACGCGCCTTGGTCCACGCGCGCGCCTTGGTCCGCGCGCCCTGATCCACACGCACGCCCAGGTGTGTGCGCGCGCCCCTGTGTTGACGCCTGCCCTGCATTCTCTGCCTTACCTCCCACTCCCCATCCCCACCCCCCACTTTCTCCCAACCTCCCCTCCCCCCTCCAGCGACCCACCATAGCTCTGGTGATGGGACCCAAGGGCCTCATCAGCCGCCTGCTCGACTCCAGACCTGCATTGCCTGCCCCACTCCCCCTCCTCTCTTCCCACTCTCCTCCCCCCAGTGCCCCACGATAGCGCTGGTGATGGGTCCCAAGGGTCTCATCAGCCGTCTCCTCGCGGTTACTCTTAACAACGCCTGCCCTGCAATTCCTCTCGTACTCCCTCTATCCCCTCCCCAACCCCCACTCCCGTGCCCCTCACACTTTCCCTCCCCTCACCACCCGACCATAGCGCTGGTCATGGGACCCAAGGGCCTCGTCAGCCGTCTCCTCGCTCCCAGATTCAATGACCTGTATTCTGAAATCTGCCTTCCTCTACCCTCCCCCCTTCCCCCCTTCCCCCCAACGCCCCACGATAGCGCTGGTCATGGGACCCAAGGGCCTCATCACACCCAAATGTGATGACTCCGGTTGTGGATTGTCGGCTCTCCTCGCACCCAAATTCAATGACGTCTGTCCTGCATTGTTTGTCTAATTCCCACCCCGCCACACTCCCCATCCCTCATCCCTGCCCCCCCCATTCACCCCAGCTCCCCACCATAGCGCTGGTCATGGGGCCCAAGGGCCTCATCAGCCGTCTCCTCGCATCTAGATTCAATGACGTCAGTCCTGCGGATCTTGTCTTATTCCCACCCCGTCACACTCCCCATCCCTCATCCCTGCCCCCCCCATTCACCCCAGCGCCCCACCATAGCGTTGGTCATGGGTCTCAAGGGTCTCATCAGCCGCCTCCTCGCACCCAAATTCATCGGCGTCTGTCCTGCATTGTTTGTCTTATTCCCACCCCGCCACACTCCCCTTCCCTCATCCCTGCCCCCCCCATTCACCCCAGAGCCCCACCATAGCGTTGGTCATGGGTCTCAAGGGTCTCATCAGCCGCCTCCTCGCACCCAAATTCATCGGCGTCTGTCCTGCATTGTGAGACTTATTCCCACCCCGCCACACTCCCCATCCCTCATCCCTGCCCCCCCCACTCACCCCAGCGCACTGGACATTGGGCCCAAGGGCCTCATCAGCCGTCTCCTCGCACCCAAATTCAGTGACGTGTCTTTCAAATTCTTCCTTACTCTACCTTCACCCCCAACTCCCATCCGTCACAGATGCTGAGTCTGGACGCTCACAGACGGGCGCCACGGTCGAGTTGCACCGCCAAGAGTACCATCGCATTTTCAAGGCCCACGCTCAAGTGCCCTTCGAGAAGGTCACTGATTTATTACAACGGCCGGATCGGGAGCTGTTTGGTGTGAGATATGCCTTTCCGCTTATGCGGTTAGATGATCGCGGGAGACCAAGGCGTGTGGAGGGCTTGTCTTGGGGAGGAGCAAGACGCGGGAAGGCATTTTCTCTACAACGCCAAGGAGGTAATGCCTTTCAAACATGCTACATTGCCGAACACGGGTGATGCTGTCTCACGATGACGTGTCGCCCCAACGCCCACATCCACTTATCATACCACTATTGCTGAAGTGCAGGTAATGCACAGCGCGCTGCTCGTAGCGGCACTACGAACGATGGTGGGGTGGAGAATGCTACGGCTTCATCTCATCCTTCCGCGCCTCCTTTGCCCGTCGGGGGTGGTGGTGATGGCGAAGGCATACTCTCTACTTCTTCCGTGCCTACTCTGCCCGTCGGGGGTGGTGGTGATGTCGAAGGCATACCCTCTACTCCTTCCGTGCCTCCTTTGCCTGCGGGGGGTGGACATCATGCAAACGGCACCATGTCATTGCCTACAGCGTCACCGAGCACGATGAATGGCATGCCAGAGGACAGGTGAGCAGTTGATTTACTACACATTTGGAATTCATGTTACAACCTTATGAAATCATCTGGTCCCACTTAGGCTCGTTACACTTTCACGGCAACCATACGCTCACTATTTGTGACCTTTTTCTATACCCCTCGTAAGGCCTGTTTGCAGCCATCCGCGTGCGAGCGCGCGCGGGACAGTCCCCAGGCATTGGCCTACATCACCAAGTGTTGATGATATCCCTGAGCAACGGGTATGTCTAGTCGAACCACGTACCGTTGTCGGGTTCTTCAAGGGGTGTCGCTTAGTGTGCTCGCATCAAGATACATGCGGAGGTGCTATGTCTCTCAGGTCGTGGAAGTTTTCTTGGGCTTCAGTTGGCATGTTTTGGAGATGCAATAAGTGTTCCCATGGTGTGGAATTCTGGTCGTGCACCAATCGAACCCTTGACAAGAAGAGAGTTGGGGTTGGTGCACGAGTGCCCATGCTACACTCAAAATATGTGGGAGCATTCGCGCTCGCTGGGATGGGGTATCAACAGATGTGGGAGTTTAGCCGCAATTTTGGCATTCCATGTCCTGGCAAAAGCACGTTCTATCGATACCTTGGGGGCGATAATGGGTTATGGAAAACAATATTTAGGGAGGCGGATAAGTCGATGGCTTTGGTGCGGGAGGAGATGAGCAAACGTGACATTCCAGCCGAATACGTGACGGTGGATGGCCGATGGTCACATGTCCGAGAGGGTGAGTGGTGCACAGTGTCGTTCATGGACATACCGTCGCGGAAGATCTTGTACTGTGTAACAACACGTAAAGGGGTGGATGATAAATCGTCGGTGCGATTGGAGCGGGTGGCATTCGACAGAGGGGTTGATGAGCTGAAGCTGTTGGGGTTCGATGTGAAGGGCATCATCTCGGATCAAGGGACCACGTTTAGAGGCGCTGCGGCAGAGCGAAAGCTGGATCATCAGGTAGATTGGTGGCACGTGAAGCGGACGCTGTACAATCTTTTCTGCAAGGAGCTTCAGGATCAGGTGCGGATGGCTGTGGAGGTGGACAAGGCTAGCTGTGTCGAGGAGCTATGGTTGGCTAAGGTGGAAGAGTTAAAGCAGTGGTTGAGGACCAAAGGATTGGAGAAAGAGGCGAAAGGGACACTCAAAGCATCACTTGTGAAGGCGGTGTGTGAAGCCATGGGTACCATTGCATATGTGAAGATGACCCCTGATGAAGCAAAGTGGAAGTTTCCTGAGTTGCGAAAAGTCCGACGGCTAGGAGGAGAACGGGCGGCAGTAGATGTCCCAGTGGGATATGGCGAGGTGCGTCCTGATACTACTGGAGAGATGCAGCCCATCGTTCGAGATGCTGCGGTTGACGAGGCGGATGCGGGTGCAACCCAAGTTGATGTGCAGTGGGCGGATGTGGAGGAGTTATGGCAATACGATATCCATCCTGTGCGTGGTGCGAGACCATCGTCATTGGCTAGTTCTCTCATCGTGCACGCACATGCGGGTGCATGCAGTAACTTACGATTTATCGGCGGGACGACTCCGTGGGCCAACAATGATGAAGCTACTGGTATGAACGCTTTGTGAAACTTACTTTCCATGCCATATTCAGATTGGAGTACGCCGCTTGTTTCCTAAAATTGTTCATACTGCTCGTTTTGACCTGACAGAGACGATGACTGGCTGCAACAACGATGGTGCAGCGGGTGAGACCGACAACCACGGAAGTGACGTCGGAGAGAATTTGCCCCGTTGGACTGGGCGGCGAAAACGGAAACGTGGCGGAGATGAGATAAACGCCGGCGATGAGGAGAGTACGGTGGCGCAGCGCTTCGCCTCGTCCATGTGATGATGCGTTGCGCGGCGCTGTTGAAAGCGGGCACCCCTATGACTCCCGAAGATGTGGCAAAGGAAATTGGGACGGCACCTAACCACTGGGCAGGTGACCACTCCGAGTGTGGACGGAACGGGAGTATTCCTCCAAGGTGTGTTACCGAGAAGTGGGGCAGGGAATGTGCACTTTATGAGCCTGGATCGGAAACGCACAAGGCGGTTCTTGCATGTTTCAAGAAACGGTGTTCGCCAGACAAGGTGAAACCCTATGTTCACGGAGCCAACAGTTCCATAAACGAGTCTTTCCATTCCCTGATCATCAAATACGCTGCTAAGCGTATCAGGTTCAAAGGTAGTCTTGAGGCACGAGTGGGGCTGGCTGTCCTGCATTGGAATAACTCGATGGACAGGCTTGTCACATCGTATCGCACTCGTGTACGGCAAGTAACTCGGGTGCGACGGGGCAACAAGGATCGAACCCTCGGACCTATGGATTGGTCTTGGGTTGATCGGATTATGGAGGACTGGCAACGATCGCTGGGGTTTGGAGTCGACGATGAGATTATGGAGACGGCCCCAAAGAGGCAGGCGCAACATCCTGTCGACTTACCTTGTGGAGGGCGACACCCATCTGTTGTTGGGCCGGTTACTCCTGTGCGAGAAGGTGGCATAGTCCGCGGCCTTACTTCGACGCGCGGTGCTGGGCGACGTATTTTATGTAAGATCCGAACCACATTCTCGCCAACCCTTACTCTTGTCTTATGTAATATATTTTGACGCTTCCCTCTTGCGATCATGTTGCAGGAGATGCCACCAACCATCCTCGGTAAACGTTTTGGAAACACTTACGCCGACGTGGAGGGATCTAAATCACCATTTTGTCCAACACGCCACGTCAATTTAGATGTTGGCGATGCCGGTGAGCGCCTTTGAGGGTAATAGTGCCTATCCTTGTCCATATCACTGCTGCCTTCACCCATAACATGTGCATCTCTCGCTTTGCCCTCTATCTTCACTTTCAGACCCGGTGTGCCCTCTCCCAGCCTTGTCCCATGCTCCCATCCTACTCCCTTCAATGCCCATCTCACGCCCTCATGCTTCAATTCCCCAGTCTAGTCATTCTAAACCCTCCACCTCAGTCAATCATAGAGCATTATTTTCCCCTCTCATTCCAACCTTGTTCTCTCAGCTCCTGGACGTGCTTTTGGGGAAGGATACTGGTGTGGAGTTGGTGCCATACGAGTAGAGGGCCATGGTGGTGTCTCCGCGCCTGACCCCAAAGGAGGCCTTGGCGCCCTTTGATGTCAGCCGAGTCGTGGACCCCTCCGAGCACAACCTCAACCACCAATAGGTGCGAGTGCCATCAGTCATGCGAATCAACGGTACATGCGACAGCGTAAGTCAAGTGCAAACCATTGATTTATCATTTACCATCAGGTATCTTTCGTAAACCCTTCGTTCGTCTTTGTCGACTTAGCATGCATTGTGATACTACCCAATTATCCCCTTTGCAACAAAATACAGGCTGCTCCTACTCCATCCGGTTCCACGTCTTCTTGGTTCTAACCTTTGATGCATACTACAACCACTGATTTATCTTTTTGTGCTCGTTTCACTATCATGGCACTAATGTTGCCCATGCCTCACACCCCTCCCCACACATGCGTTCAACCAGCCGCATGGACTATACGTCAACAGCTTTCAAGGTCAGGAGTGGCCCCTTATTGCTCCCAACGTGGTGCTCTCATTACCATTCGTCTCTTTCTTTGCTCTACTTCTCCATGTTTTACTCCACTGAACTGCAGATCCATTTGGTGTCCGGAACATTTTTGTGTTTGTTGGAAATTTTCACCGCATACAAGACATTACCACCACACGATTGAGTACATGTAGCCTACAGATACTACTCCTCCTACCTGCATGATTTTGGCAGCAACAGGTTGCACCTTCTAAAGCAAGTACGGTAGTTTTTGCTCATGACTCAGCATAATTAGCACGCGTGTGTGTCAAGTGGCTCAAGTCACAGCAGGCGTATACATGTATAGAGGATTTTACATCGAATTTTGGAATCCACATTTATGCGAATGAGCACTTGTCCACCAAACATGTTTGCCTCAATGGTCTTGGTTTCAAGAATGGCTCTCCTGCAGTGAGAGTCAACGGTGGTAAAATTCAGTGCCATCATATGGTGTACGAGCCAACAGGTGGTGTTGGAGGTGGACAACCCCCAGTCTCCATCCACATCAGTGCATTGTCCTCTGTTGAGGGAGGAGGTGTGGTGGCGATGAGCTTGCTGACAGTTGCCACACATGGGGAGATGGTGAGGGAAAGGGAGGCAGAGGGTGGGGGGAAATAGGAGGGAGGGTGAGGAAGGGCAGGGAAGGCAATGGTGGTAGTAGGGGATAGGTATACGGGGAAGGGGGTGAGGAAGACGAGGGACAGGGAGAAAGGCGATAAGGAGAAGGGAAACAGAGAGAAGGGGGACAGAGAGAATATGAACTGAGAGGACGGGAGGATGAAAGGACAGGGGCATGTGAGGACAAGAGGACGAGAGGACAGGGGGCCGAGAGGTCAGGGGGACGGGGGGATGAGAGGACGGGGGGATGAGAGGACAGGCGGATGAGAGGACGAGGGGATGAGAGGATGGGGGGACGAGAGGACAGAGGGATGAGAGGACGGGGGGATGAGAGGACAGGCGGACGAGAGGACAGGGGACGGGGGGATGAGAGGATGGGTGGACGAGAGGACAGGGAACAGGGGGATGAGAGGACGGGGGGGTGAGAATGAGAGGACAGGGGGATGAGAGGACAGGGGGATAAGAATGAGAGGACAGGGGGATGAGAGGACAGGGGGATGAGGGGACAGGGGGGTGAGAGGACGGGGGGACGAGAGGACAGAGGGGTGAGAGGACGGGGGGATGAGAGGACAGGGGGACGAGAGGACAGGGGGACGAGAGGACAGGGGGACGAGAGGACAGAGGGATGAGAGAACGGGGGGATGAGAGGACAGAGGGATGAGAGGACAGGGGGATGAGAGGACAGGGGGATGAGGGGACAGGGGGGTGAGAGGACGGGGGGATGAGAGGACAGGCGGATGAGAGGACGAGGGGATGAGAGGATGGGGGGACGAGAGGACAGAGGGATGAGAGGACGGGGGGATGAGAGGAGGGTGGACAGGGGGATGAGAG